CTGGGTTTCCTGGGACCCGGGGTCTCGCCCACCTTGCTGTGTGGAAACCTCAGGTGAGGGTTGAGGGTGTACATGCACAAACGCCTATGAGTCACACCCCCCTGCTTCTCCACATACACTAGAGTCAGAAAACCCCCCTGGAAACCTGGAGACAGGCAGAACTGAAACCCCCGGGTCCTGCGGGTTGAGCATTGGTCGACCTGGCTTCAAGGGACCAGGGCAGGAGTGTACTCCAGCAGAAGACTGGACCTGGATGCTGTGTTCCCACCCCCTCTCAGGCCCCAGTCTCACTCGTCCCCTGCCCTCTCCACCACCAGAGCAGCTTTCAAAGGCCCCTTTCCGGCAGGCAGGCCCCTTGCTGCCCTCTGCTGCCTGAACTGGGCACTGCTGCTGAGCTGGCTGTAAAGGAGCCAAGCCTGCACCTGGCAGGTCCTGAGCTTGCTCTGCTCCAGCCCAGAACTGAGAAGAGCCCTGACTCCAGCCCTTCCTCCCTGCTTCGCAGCACCCAGGAGACCCCGCAGGCAAGGCACCTTCTAGTTCACGTTTCTCTTTCCCATCTTGTGTCATTTGATCTTCCCAGACCTCTGAGGTGTCTGTCTTGTTCCAAGTGCATGGAGAATATCTGGTATGGGGGAGATTCTTAGTGCCCTGTGCTGATAGATGAGAAGGGTAAGGAGCATTGAATGCAGAATACTACCTGGGGATCTGGCCACTGACCTAGCACTCCTGTGGCACCTAGCTGCAGAGCAGGGTCACAGAACTCTTAGCTGTTGCCCTGCCTCCACCAGGAGGGTGGTCCTGCCACCCCAGAACTAACTGATGGCCCCCAAAGCTACCCACTCCCACCAAACTGCAGACCCCAGGGCATGGCAAGACAGCTTGTAAGGACACTAGTGGCCGCAGGCCATAGCCGTTCCCCTCTCCTTAGCCTAGGCAAGCCAGGGCAGCTGCCGATCTGGCTTGTCACTATTGGCCCAGAAAGCAAGAGGCCCAAGGACAGGGCTGACCGAGGGCACACGTGCTCAGAGATGACACCGTGTCACCCTGAACAATCACCTCAGACTCCAGAGAAGAAGCAATCCTACCTGGGCAGAAAGCCGCTGTCAAATCCCATCCCTCCAGCCAGTTCTGGTATCCCAGGGAACTATTCATGATGGGTGGGCCCCACTTAGCAGCCCGGCCCAGCCCAGCTGCTGTGTCTGCGTAGGGAAGCCTCCCAGCAGATCCTGTGCTCTTGCACTAGCTGGTAGGGAAGGACGTCTGGGAGAAAAGTCAGCTGTCTGCTGTCCCCCAAGCGACCACACCTCCACTCTGGACCATGCCCCACCACACATGGTAATTAAAAGTTGGGCCTGGGACCAGCAGATGCCATAATGATTATGTTGCTGGGCATAACCAGCGTCACTGGGACTCACATGGCCGACCATGGTTTGAGTCCTGGACCTGATGGCTTGAAACTCATGCCGGGCATGTGTGTGTTTGTGCCCAAGATCCTGGGAAGAAAATAGAAGTGAAGGGATTGTGGCATGACCATCCCCCCTGGGGGGTGATTTCTTCTTTCCCTCTCAACTATCTTTCTCCCTCTCCCTCTTCCTCTCTCTCTGGTGAGCACACGTGCCCTAAGGCAAAAACCTAAAAAATATATAAAAAAATAAAAAGCTAGGCCTGACTTCCCAGAGGCCTGCTGGTGGCTCTGAGGAAGGGAGCTATCTGAAGGCCCAAAGTGGAGCCAGCAGCTGACCATGCAGCCCTGAGGCTCACCATTAGAGCAGGATACCTCGGCCTCCAGCCACTGCACCCCACCTCCCAGGCCCAGATTCCACATCTCCCAGGGCCTTTAACAAGACCCTCAGGGCACCACATCTTACGTCCCCTGCTACAAGACAGTGCTTCGTGTTCCTTTACTCCAGATGGCTGGGCAGACGGGACTCGTAGTGTTCCCTTACGAAGCCTTTGTTGGGCTCTGCCCCATCCAGCGGGCTTTGGCCTCACCTCAGAAGCTCTAGCACCCTCTTAGCTCCTCCCACCATCACACAGAGGATGATGCTCCACTGGGAAGCTGCTCTGGCCACGCGACCAGCTGGAGAGAGCTTCATTCTCCAGCCCTGGAGCACCACCACGTTCCTGGCTCCCTTTATCAGTGAGGGATGTGCAGCCCCTCTGGCTGCTGGCGAGGCTGGGAGTGGAGTTGGAAGAGGTAAAGGGAGTCTGAGAAGTACGTACACGGGGTGAAAAATAACCCAGCCTCTTCTATCTCCCCCGCTGGTCCAAGAGCCCTCCTATTCGTCGGCCCTCCTGTAGGACTGGCTGAGCTCAGGGTGGCTGGACTCGGATGCCCCCGTGTGGCAGAGGCCAGAGCAGCTACTTCTCAGTGGCAGCTCCTACCCACCCAGGAATCGCCTAGCCCCGGGTGCTGCACTTGCCTGGCCCCTTCTCCAGCCACCTGTGCACTGCTACCTTGTATCACAGAGCTGCTCACACTTCACCAGCAGCTTCCACCACCTTGACTGCCTGGGCCCTGTGGGGCCTGCACCAATTTCTCTAAGTATTTTTTGCCACTAAAAGTAATATCACTGGGGGGCAGGCGGGTAGCATGGTGGTTAAAGCTGCTGGACTCCCACATGGCTGACCACGGTTAGAGTCCCAGACCTGGAGGCTTGCTTTCTAACTCTCCCTCTCTGATCAAACTGGAAAATAGCAATAATAAATAATATTAAATAAAGTAATTCTAAAAAAAAAAAGTAATATCACTAATAATCACTTTTTTTTGGAAAGTTTTTTTTTCCCCCTTAGGGTGTATACACTCGCCAGAGAGGGAGACAGAGACAGAGGGAAAGTGAGAAATCACCCCCTAGGGGGGTGGCCAGCCACAATCCCTTCTTCATTCTCCTGGTTTCTTAACACACATGCACATGTGCCCAGCATGATTTTTAAGCCACCAGGTTCAAGACTCGAACAGTGGTCAGCCATGTGGGAGTCCATGGTGTAACCACGGCACCGTCTGCTGGCCCACTAAGCATTCACTTTTTTTATTTTTTAGAGGTTTTTTTTTGTTTTTTTTTGCTATAGGGCATGTGTGCCCACCAGAAAGAGAGAGACAGAGAGACAGAAAGTGAGAGATCACCCCCCAGGGGGATGGCCATGCCGCAATCCCTTCTCCTCCATTCTCCTCTCGGGATCTTGAGCATGCACGCACACGCGCCTGGCGTGAGTTTAAGCCACTGGGTCCAGGACTCGAACCGCAGTTGACTACGTGGGAGTCCAGCGACATAGCCATTACACTAACTGCTGGTCCCAATCATTCGCTTTTATTTGAGTCCTTACTATGTGTTAGTCACTGCCATAAGTACTCATGTGTATGTTAACTCATTTCATTCTCAAAACAACCTACTGAGGTAGAAAATACCAATTTCTGCCTTTTAGAAACTGACATACCCAAGAAACTGGGAGGAGACTGGAGAAGGGGTTGCAGCAGGATGCTTTCTCACTCTCTCTTTCTCTCAGTGAGCGCACGTGCCCTACAGCAAAATTTAAAAAGAAAGAAATGAGGAGACTAAGGAAATTGAGGCACTTGCCTGAAGTCACACAGCTAGTAAGAGGCTGACTCAGGATTCCAACCCAGGCTGTCTGGTTCCAGAGCCTTTGCCATCCTGCCTGTGCTGGGAGGTGACTATGGTCCTGTCGTTCCCATCCTCCTTTACCTGGAAACATCTGTGTGACAGCACGAGTAATATCGGAGCCTGAGGCTAACGCTAACATCCACTGTGTCCTGGAGTTGCTCTGAGCCTCTTTCTCACCCATAACATACGGACGATATCCACATAGGCTAGCTGTGAAGACCGAAATGAGACAAGGCATGGAACAGGCTCCTGACACACAACAAGCAGTGACATTGCTTTATGGGCCTGACTCCTGGTTGTCTAGAGCCTGACACCAATCTTAGATGACAGCACCTGAGGACACGTTCATCCCCACTCATGCTGCTCAAAGGAGAGAAGTAGGTCCTGCAGCCCTGCCAATGACTACAGAGTCTAGCCTGGGCTGTAGGGCCTGCAGCACAGGAAAGCCTCTGGAGCCTTACAGTCTTTTATTTCTGTTTTTGTTTGTTTGTTTGTTTGCTCAAGGGTATGTGCACTCCCCAGAGAGAAAGAGAGAGAGGAGAGAGAGAGAAAGCAGCCCACAACTGTGGTCACACTGCAATCCTTTTCCCTCCATTTCTCTATCCTGACAAGATTTGAGGCATGCACCCACATATGCCCAATGTGCTTCCAAGCCACCAGGGCCAGGATTCACACTACAGCCGTCCACGTGGGATCTAGTTCCCTATGTACAGCACTTAACTGCTGTGTTACAGGGCCAGCCCTGAAGCTGTATTTTAAGATTAGTAAGTGCTGGGCCCCAGGTGCTGCGGTGGTTAAGGTGCTGTATCCCACGTGGCTGACTGCATGGTTTGAGTTCCAGACCTGGAGGCTCGAAAAACACTAGGGGCATGTGTGTGTCCAAAATTCCACGAGGAGAGTGGAGAAGTGACTGTGACATAGTCATCTTCCGGGGTGTGCTTTCTCACTTTTTTTCTCTCCCTTTTTGTCTCTCTCCAGTGAGAACATGTGCCCCATAGTAAATTTTTTAAAGAATTATTTTATTTTACTTTATTTATTTATTTTAATTGGCCCAGAGATGGGGTGAGAGAGAGTGAAAGTGAGAAAGCAAACCGCCAGGTCTGGGACTTGAACCACCACCGTTGGCCATGTGGGAGTCTAGCACCCTTAACCACCATGCCACCTGCTGACCCCAACTATAGTAAAAATGCTGACCCCAACTATAGTAAAAAAAAAAAAAAAAAGCACCACACAAACACAAAGGCAAATATACAGAACTCCTTTCCTTTTAGGAGGGGGGTTTGCTATCCAGTCAGTCAATACCCACCTATTGAGCACCAATTAATAATGCCACGCATTGGATAGAAACCCAAAACTAAAAGTTGAGATGAATTTATGACTAGTATTTTCAGGAATCTTTTCAGGGATGTTTGGGGGGAAACTCCCAACCCATCTCCATTTATAATCACATTGCTATAAAATCCAAGAGACACTGAAAGACTTCTGTCTGTAGGAGCATACTGAAAACAATCCGAACTTCTGTGATTGGAGTCTTAACCAAAGGCCAGCTCTGTGCTGCAGCGGTATTGTACTGATCAAGAGAAGCTGGATCTTGGGACCAGCAGTTAGCATAATGGCCATGTTGCTGGACTCCCATGTAGTCGACCGCAGTTCGAGTACCAGACCCGGTGACTTAAATTCATGCGGGGCACATGTGCGTGTGTGCCCAAGATCCCGAGAGGAGAATGGAGGAGAAGGGATTGTGGCCATCCCCACTGGGGGGTGATTTCTCGCTTTCTGTCTCTCTGTCTCTTTCTGTCTTTCCGGTGAGCACATGCGCCCTATAGCAAAAACCTCTCCAAAAAAAAAAAAAAAGAGAGAGAGAGAGAGAGAATCTGGATCCCGTACAGCAACTGTGGCTCAGATTCCCAGCAGAGTCAGCCTGAAACATGTTGGGACATACATGAGTGCCCAAAACAACCATCTGGGGCATGGAGAAGGGGGATCACAGCGTGAGTAGACCCTGTGGAGGGTGCTTCCCCTGCCTCTCCTCTTTGTCTCTTTCTCACTCACTCTTGGTGTGCACACACTCTATCATGAACAACGGAAGAAAACGTTAACTAAGAGTCCACAGGCCCTGGAGCAACCCCACCCACCAGGCCACATGGTGAAGCACCACTTCTCACCCGGCATCTTGGCTCCAGTCTCAGAGGAGAACATAGGTGGCGTGGGCCACTGTTCTCACCATGGCCAGTGCCCACATCAGCGGAATAATGGACTACCTTTGGGGATGTCATGCTCCAAGGAGTCCATGAAATCCAGAGAGGGGTCCAGGTCAGCCTTCTCAAGCAAGGTCTTATTCTTCAGCTCAGTAGCCTCCCTGAAGTGGAAGTAGGAGCTGAGCTTCTTGGATTCGGATAAGGACAATCCTAGAAAGAGGCGGCAGGCAGGAAGAGGGTGGTCAGCCCAAAACCCCATGGACCCTTTCACTCTCCATTGGGACCACATGAAGTCCATGCAAAGGACTCAGTCAACCATTGACAGAGAACCGAAGGGAAAAAAAAGGATTGGCATCCCTCCATCCAGACTTGGCCCAGACTGGGCAGGGAGGAGAGACCAAGGAGGAAGAAGGTGGGAAAAGGCAGGTAGCCCAGACCTACACAAAGCCCAGGTCCCAGGCAAATGTATGCTGTCCCCAGGCTCAGGTGGAAGAGTCAGGGCTCAGCCACTGGGTAGCCTATGTCCACTCTGGGCCCCAGGCCATCAGGCACATCCGCCCAGGCAACGTGGCCATAGCTGCTCTTTCTCTGAGGAAGTGGGCAGGTTCCCCCGGACTCCCAGGAAAAGCTGCCCTCCTGCCCTCGAGAAGGGCCCCGAATAATTCACCTTCAAAGGTCCGATTGACATGGATGGGTCCAAAAGGGGTCTTGAAGAGGGCACCTCGAGGGATGATGGCCACAGCCTTGTCAATCTGGTCAATGATGGACACCAAGCGGGTCTCTTCCTTGATCTGGACCTGAGGAGACGGAGAGAAGCCATCCTGCTGTGCCCACTCGTGTCTGGTGCAAAGAGCCTCTGTATGACCATCTTACCTGAGTCACCACATGCGGGTGCCAGGGCCACTGAGAACACCTTGGGCAAGCCTTCACCTCTCTCCCCCCATGGAGATCCTATTTCCCTTTTTTTCCTTTCCTTCCTTTCTTCTTTCTTTGATCTGTTTTTTATTTTTGCTAAAGAATGTAAATGCTCACCAAAGAGAGACAGAGAGGAAGACGAGAAAGCACACACCCCACCACCACCCCTGAGAAATGGTCACGCCACAATCCCTTTCCCTCTATCTCCCACTCCTTTCGGGGGGGTTGGCATGCACACACACACACCTGGCATGTTTCTCAAGCTGCCCAGTCCAGGACTTGAACCATGCAGTGGGATCCAGCTGCCTTAATCACCAAGCCACAGAGAGCCAGCCCCTTTCCTTCGCTTCTTTCTTCCATCCATCCACCCTTCCTTCCTCTCTCCCTCCCTCACTTCCCTCTTTCTCTCTCTCTCTCGTTATTTTTTGAGTTGATAATACATACAGGAGGTGCATGGGCCAGTGGTTAAGCTCTGTGCATAGGAAGCCAGCTGCCGCATGGCCCACCGCGGTTGGAATCTCGCTCCCTGTGGCTTGAGAAACATGGATGTCTCTCAAATCCTCCTGACAGGATGGAGAAGCAGAAGGGGAATGCAGTGTGACTATGCGCCCCTGGGTAGTACGTCCTCGCTCTCCCGCCCTCCTTCCAGCCAATGCATGTGCCTTCTGACGACCTGATCAGTGGTGGGCACCAAGCAGGTCTCTTCCTTGACTGAGACCTCAAGAGACAAGATAAAAGCCATCCTGCCAAAACTACCAAAAACACATAAATAATTAAGACAGTCTTTCTCTCACACCAATCCCCAACCCCCAAGTTGCCCTCATGAACAGTGTTTTTAAAGAATTATTTAATTTGTTGTTATTATTGTTTTTTAATTTGACCAGAGAGAGACAGTGAGAGAGAGAGAAAGGAAAAGTGAGAAAGCAAACTATCAAGTCCCAGACTCAAACCACAGTTGGCCATGTGGCAGTCCAGCACCTTAACCACAGCGCCATGACCTGCTGGCCTACCCCACATGAACAGGTTTTTTTTCTTTTTTTTTTTTTTTTGTTTTTATTTTTGGCCCACCCCATATGAACAGGTTTTTTGTTTGTTTGTTTGTTTGTTTGTTTTTATTTTTATGTCCCTTCTAGAGAAATACCCTCCTATCACCATGGTTAAGTGTCATTTGTTTGGCCTTTATAAAATGTAAAAGCCATCATGCTCATTGTAGAAGATTTGCCTCATATATTGCATTGTCAGAAAAGTCATGACACATTTTTGCATAGAAAAATACGTCACGACTTTTCCAACAACATGATAGAAAGACACACCTAAGACAATGAAAAGCACTCCCACTCCCGCCTCCTTCAGATGATTGTTGATAGCAATTGGCATTCTTCCCTCTTTTTTCTCTGCATATATTTCAAGCAAAATGAGAATGTCTATTTCTATAGCTTGCTATCTTGCTCTTTGGCTAGGCATTATTTCCTAAGCATTTCTCCATGTTAGAACTTTTTACACAGATGAAATGTGGGTACAATGAATATAAAGGGCAACCCTGAACAAAAGGACTTTATAGACATATTTGGAGACAAACAGAACTTACAGGAAAAACATGTCACCAGAGGCCTCCACAGGGCCACTGAGCCACCTCACCTCTGCACTGCTGGCCTGGATGCTTTACAAGAGACAGAAACTAAGGTTTAGTAAGTGCTTAGTCCAGAGGCTTTGACTGTCACCGCACTCAGTCTGCACAAGCCTGCAGAGTAAATGCAATGATCACAGTTGCACAGAAAACATCACCAGGGCTCAGGGAGATGAAATTTATCAGGCGGGAAGGGGCCAGGATTGCAGGTAGCCTCACAGATGTAGACCTAGACTTTCGGGATCTGCCAGGTTCAAGTGCAGAGGCTGGGTTTTTAATTCCGGATTGTCTAGTTTCCAAACCCAGGCTCTGTACTTGTTGAAGCAATTCTAAGAACTGATCCTCAGATAAAGTGCATACACTGGAAATGTGCTCTGCACAAAGTTAATCATCGCGCTATTGTCTGCTAAAACCTGAAAACCTACATTCCCGTGAATAAGACACTGGGGAAATTATACATTCTCAAGATGGTAAAAAGAATGGGGAGGCTTGTTACGGCACTGATAAAGAAAGCTCTCTAGGGAACCAGCAGTTAGCATAATGGCTATGTCGCTGGACTCCCACGTAGTCGACCGCGGTTCGCATCCCAGACCCGGTGGCCGCGGTTCGCATCCCAGACCCGGTGGCTTAAAACTCACGCTGGGTGCGTGTGCGTGTGTGCCCGAGATCCCAAGAGGAGACTGGAGGAGAAGGGATTGTGGCGTGACCATCCCCCCTGGGGGGTGATTTCTGTCTCTATGTCTTTCTCTGTCTGGCGAGCACATGTGCCCTATAGCAAAAACCTCTCCAAAAAAAAAGAAAAGAAAGCTCTCTAGGGGCCAGCAGGTAGCATGGTGGTTAAGGTGCTGGACTCTCACATGGCTGACTGTGGTTCAAGTCCCAGACCTAGCAGCTTATTTTCTCACTTTCCCTTTCTCTCTCTCTCTCTCCCTCTCTCTGCCTGGCTCTGGTCAAATTTTTAAAAATAATAATAATAATAAAATTAAATAAATAATTCTCTAAAGAAAAAAAGAAGAAAGTTCTCCAAAATACCTTGTCATGTGAAAAAAAGCAAGGTGCAGGGACCAACAGATGATGTAATGGTTATGGTACTGGACTCCCACAGAGTCAACCACAGTTCGAGTCCTGGACCTGGCAACTTAAAACTTACTCTGGGTGTGTGTGCTGCCCCAAATCCTGAGGAGAACGGAGGAGAAGGGATTGAGGCAAAGCCATCCCCCCTGGAGGGTGATTTCTGACTTTCTGTCTCTCGGTCTCTCAGGTAAGCACACACACCCTATAGCAAAAACCTCTCTCTAGAAAAAATAAAAAGTAAGGTGCAGAGCTGTGTGTAAACCATGCTGTTGTTTCTTTTGTTTTTGTTCCATTTTTAAATTTGCTATAGGGCATGTGTAATCTCTGGAGAGAGACAAAGAGATAGAAGGCACTCCCCAGGGTGGATGACCATGCCACAATTCCTTCTCGTCCACTCTCCGCTTGCGATTATGGGCATGTAACACACACGCCTGCCATGTTTTTCAGGCCACCGAGTTTGGACTGGCACTGTGCAGATGCCCACTGTCCAGCCACCTTAACCTCTACACCACCTGCTGTTGGTTAGAGAGGTGTTTGCAGAAAGCAGAACTTAGAGGACAATAGGTAACCACCTGTTCTGAGTTTTTAAGAGAATACACAGGGCTGGCATTGGAGCCTAGTGGTTAAGGAAGCTAGACCCCACATGGCTGACCAACCACCTGGTAGCTTGAAAAATATGCCAAAGGGACCAGAAGATGGTGTAATGGTTACATCGCTGGATTCCCATATAGTCAACTATGATTCAAATCCCAGACCTGGCGACTTAAAAAAAACTCACATTGGACACCTGTACATGCATGCCCAAATCCGAGAGGAGAATGGAGAAGGGACGGCGACATGGCCATCCCCAGAAGGGTGATTTCCTGCTTTCTGTCTCTCTCTGTCTACTCAGCAAGCTCATGTGCCCTATAGCAAAAATCTCTCTCAAAAAACGCGCATGAGAAAAAAAGCCTCCTCAAAAAAAAAAAAAAAAAAAAAAAAAAGCCAGGTGTGTGTGCCTATGTGCCATGAATTCTGACAGGATGGAGAAATGGAAAACAGATTGCAGCATGACCATGTTCACTTAGGGGGTCCTTTGTCCCTCTCTCTCCCTCCCTCCCTCCCTCCCTGTCTCTCTGGTAAGTGCATGAACCTCTGACAATTAAAAAAGAGGGAGACCATGTATAGATAATGTATTTTCTGTGATTTGTACTTACATAAAATGTCTTTGGGGGCCAGCCAGTGGCATGGTAGTTAAAGCATCTGGACCCCACATGGCCAGCTGCAGGGTTCAAGTCTCAAACTGGTGGCTCGAAAAACACACCAGGTATGTAGGTGCATGCCCAAAGTCCTGAGAGAAGAATGGAGAAGGGATTAAAGCCTTCCACTCATGGGGTGATTTCTCACTTTCCCTCTCTCTCTGTGTCTCTGTGCACTTGCTCTATAACAAGACTTAAAACAGAGAGAGAGAGACTAGGTATAGGTAAGGCGTTAATGTTTTCTGTGGTGTGAATTTAGATGTCTTTAGGGCCAGCCGGTGGTGTGGCGGTTAAGGTGTCTGGGCCCCACATCACTGACTACATAGCACCTTCTCACTTTTGTGCTCTTTCTCTTGCTCTCTCTCTCTTTTTTTTTTTTTTAAAGTGATTTTTGCTGTAGGGCATGTACACTCATTGGAAAGACAGAAAGAAACAGAAAGTGAGACATTACCCCCCCCCCAGAGGGGATGGCCATGCCACAAGGATTTGGGGCATGCCTTCACACATGCCTGGCATGAGTTTTAAGCTGCCAGGTCTGAGACTTGAACCACAGTCGACTACGTGGGAGTCCAGCGACGTAACTATTACACCATCTGCCAGTCCCTCTCTCTCTGTTGAGTGCATGCAGCCTCTAGCAAATTTTTTAAAGTCTTTGGAAGCAGTTTCTCAGTTTTTTCTTTTCTTTTTTTTTTTTTTTTTTTCCAGGGAGGTTTTTTCTAAGAGGCTCAGCCCCTCCTGCGCTCAACAGAAAGACAAAGAGAGGCAGAGAGACAGAAAGCGAGAAATCACCCCCCAGGGGAATGGCCACGCAGCAATCCCTTCTCCTCCATTCTCCTCTAAGGATCTTGGGCACGCACGCACACGCACCCGCCAAGTTTCACAGTTTTTTAAGATTTGTGCCATAGGGCATATGCACTTGCTAGAGAAACAGAGAGACAGTGAGAGAGTGTGAGAAGTCACCCTGAGGGTGGGAGGAGGATGGCCATGCTGCATTCCATCATCCTCCTACGATTTTGGGCATGCATGCACATGTACCCAGTGTGATTTTCAAGCCACTCAGTCCAGGACTTGAATTGTGGTCAGCCACGTGACAGTGTAGTGCCATAACCACTACACCGCCTGCTGCCCTGCAATTTCACATTTTAATGTGAATTCAAATGCTCTGGGGACCCCGATTCTGCATCTATAAATCCTAGGACAAGGTGATGTTTCTGATCCAGACCGCTCTTTGTACAGAAATACTTTGACACACATATGCATGTGGAAAACAGCTATGTTAACGTTCCCCAGAAACAGGACCCGTGTGACTGCTGTACAAAGATGAGAAGGAACTTTACTATATTCCTTTTGGTACATTTGAATTTTGAGCCAGGTGGACATATTATCTAGTAAAATGAAAGTTGACACAGAAACGTAAGAGTCTGCGTGCATGCCTGGGCCCCCGTGTGCAGGACAGAGCCCCTCCCAGAGCCAGACACCCACGAGAGCTACCTACCCACTCTCTTCACCCCATTGCTCAGGAGCCGTGTGCCTCTGGGAGAGTCACCTAACCTCTCTAAACCAGTGTCCTCCTCTCTGCCGCCTGGACAGTCACGTGCCCACTCCATAGAGCTGTGTGGATTAAAAGAGCACAGGCACAGTGGTGCAGTGCCTAGCGCTCGGTACCCACCTTGGCAGTAGCGAAGGTCACAGCAATAATAGTCACTATTACTTTGTAAAATAGTAGCCATAATGGACAGCTAGTGGCATGGCGATCAAGGCAGCTGGATCGCACATGGCCAACTGTGTGGTTTGAGTCCCGGACCCGACAACTTGAAAAACATGCCAAATATGTTTGCATGTGTGCCCTAAATTTCCAAAAGGAGAATGAAGGAGAAGGAATTGAGGTATGACCATACCCCCTGTGTGTGTGGGGGGGGGGTGATCTCTCACTTTCTCTCTCTCTATGGCGAACACACACTACTTATAGCAAACTCAAAAAGTTTTTTAAATAGTGGGACCAGCAGATGCCATGGTGGTTAAGGTGCTAGGCTCCCACATAGCCAATTGAGGTTCAAGTCTCAGATCCAGTGGCTTGAAAATCATGCAGGGCCTTTCCAAAAAAATAAGGTAGGGGGAGACCAGCAGATGGCATAATGGCCACATTGCTGGACTCCCATGTAGTCGACCACAGTTCGAGTCCTGGACCTGGTGGCTTAAACTCACGCCAGATGCCTGTGCGTGTGTGCCCAAGATCCCGAGAGGAGAATGGAGGAGAAGAGATTGTAACATGGCCATCCCCCTGAGGGGTGATTTCTCACTTTTTGTCTCTCTATCTGGACAACGGAAGAGAAGGGATTGCAGCAAAAACGTCTAAAAAAAAAGAAAGAAAAAAGAAAAAGCAAAAGAAGAAAAAGAAAAGAAAATCATGCAGGTCATGTGTGCATGTGTGCCCAGAATCCCAGGAGGACAACGGAAGAGAAGGGATTGCAGCATGGCCATCCCCCCAAGGGGAGCGATATCTCACTTTCCCTCTCATTGTCTCTGTCTCTCTCCAGCAAGTGCACATACCCTATGGCAAAATTCTAACAAGAAAAAAAAAAAAAGTAGCCATACTTACATTTTTTCAGTTCATAAATTTATTTCGTCCATGAGAGAGGAAGACAGAGAGAGGGAGCCAGCACCCTTAATGGGGTCCTGATGTGCCCCAGCCTCAGTCAGCCCTCGTCCTGAGCCCACACAAGTCCCAAGTACTCAGGGCAGTCTCCGGATAGGAACCTGTCACCTTCCCACGTGGGTCACCTCACACTGGCCCATTTTACCACCGTGCTACCATCTAGTCCCCGGTGCCATCATTTCTCCCAGGCTGGATTCAGGGTAGCCCAGCCACCCCCACTCCCCTCGCCTCCTCTTCACTCACCACTACTTCTTCTTCAAAGGATTTTTCGCCGTCGTTCACCTTCTGCAGCTCAGTGTGTTCATACTCATGCGAGGGGTCCCCCATGAAGCGGCCCTTCACCACAGACGTCTGGCCCACCATCTCCTCTGTGGCGGGGGGCAAGAGGCTCCACTCCGTGCAGTTCAGGCTGCCAACAGCACTCGTGTCAGCTCTGGATTCCAAGCCACGGTCCGCAGTCTGCCCACTGCTGTCCCTCTGGCCCACGGGTTGGCTCAGGAAACTGTGGGCAGCTGTGCATTTCCCCCCAGTGCTGTTTTGAGACCCTCCCAAGCCTCAAGTGCCTGCAGCACCCGAAGTGCAATGCAAATTTGCATTAAAGTTTTTAAATTTTAAACTTGCATCTTAAAATTTTATATTTTAAAGGTCACAAGAGTTTCATGGATGCTAAAATTAAAAGAGCTTCTTGGATACCTAGACTGTGAAATTCTGGACCTTTCCTCAGGGGGCACACCCGCTTTGGTGAGCCCTGACCTAATGCTCAGCCTGTCTACTGAGCATTCCTCAGGAGAGCCTGTCCTTGGGCTCAAGGCCCTCTCCTGTGGGGCCTTCGGGGGCATTTTTCAGGCCCTGCCTAGTCCCTTCCTTCTTAACTTCTCAGGGCCTGAGTCCTCACCTGGTCTCTGCTGGTCTTCCCACCCTTCACCCGCCCCTGGCTCCCTGTGAACAGAAAGCTGTTCACGGCCCAGCCTCGGAAGCGCACACTGGACGCCACTGCTGGGAGGGCTGGGAACATATGCAAGGCCCAGTTCCATTATCCTAGCCCACTCTAAGAGCCGGGTGTGGGGACCTGCAAATTCAGTCACAGTTGCTCAAGTGCCTGAGGCAGAAGACTGAGACACAGTGAGACCCTGTCTAAAACACTACACGCACACGCACCCACACACACGTGCATGCACCCACACACTACAAAACACACAAAACTGCTCGGCCTGCTAAAACAACAGCTCTCAAATTCATGCCCCTCTGAAAATGCTGTTCCTGTCCCTCCCTTCACTCTCCCAGCTCTGAACAATAATCTCACAACAGCGGGTTGCCCTGCAGGGGCCCTTCCTCCCCATCCTTCCACCCCTCAGCCCACTGCACCATGACTGCATGCCCACCATTCCAAGGACCTGCTTGAGAGAGGCCATCCCTGACACCTAACAACCAACAAATGCACCTCCATCCCTAGTAGGGCATCGGGAAAGTCATGACTGATTTTTCTGTCTGTCTATGCAACGTGCGTCACGACTTTCCCGACATCACCTTCTTCTCCCCTCTCCAGTGCCCTACGTGTTTCCAGGGATCTGTTCTCACTTCTCTTTCCTCGCTGCAGTCTCATCCGCCTGCCTTCCAGAACCCCAGCTCCTGTCCAGGCCCCGATTACCTCTCACCACCCCCACTGCTTCTACCCCGGCCCAGGCCACCATCTGCTCTTGCTTGGATACCGCAGGAGATGCTAACTGGTCCCCTGCTTCCACACCTGCTCCCCCTGCAGACTGGTCCCCGGCTGACTGCTCGGACCTCAGCCTGGTCATGTCACTCTGTGCAGAACCTCCCAATGCTTCCCACTGAGCCGAGTCTCACAGCGCCCCACAGGGCCCTCCCTCTCTGACTTCGTGTTCTACCACGTGTCCCCCCACTCACTCCTCTTTCACAGGATTCCACCGACATGGGAAGTACACACCTGCCTCAGGGCTGTTACATTCACCTATAATTATGTTCCCTTAGATACTCCGCAGTCACTTCAGGTCTTTTCTCAAATTTACCTTATCAGAGAGGCCATTCATGACCACCCTATTTAAAATAGTACTCCAGGGACCAGCAGTCAGCGTAATGGCTATGTCAATGGACTCCCATGTAGTCGACTGCGGTTTGAGTCCTGGACCTGGCGGCTTAAACTCATGCTGGGTGCATGTGCTTGCGTGCCCAAGATTCCAAGCGGAGCATGGAGGAGAAGGGATTGCGGCGTGGCCATCCCCCTGGGGGGTGATTTCTCATTTTCTGTTTTTCTCCATCTTTCTGGTGAGTGCACGCACCCTATAGCAAAAACCTCTCCTAATTAATTAATTAAAATAGCACTCCATCCTGTGTTCCCTACCCCCCTAGTACTTGATACCCATGAAATGAATGTGTGTGTTAGCTCATGGCCTGACTCCCCTTCCCTGCTCCCCAGACATACACTACAGTGTCAGGCTTCATGAAGACAAGGGCCACTGCATTCCTGGTGTCTAAGCCAATGCCTATCACATAGTAGGTGCATCACAAATACTTATAGGATAAAAATAAAGTGAAGCTCAAATCTCTATCTTGAGTCCAAGCTTTTCTTCTGGACTCCACGTCTGCACTTTTTTTTTTTTCTTCATTCATGATAGAGTATGTCTATGCACAAGAGAGGGGGAGGGAGAGGAGACCATCCACAGGGGCTGGTCATGCTGGCCATGGTTCCCTCCCTCCAATCCTCCAGCCCACTGGGTCTGGGACACTTGTGCATGTGCCTGGAGTGTCTTCAGCTGACTGGGCAGGGGTTTGAACCGTGGTCGCCATGTGGGATCCCACTTCTCTCCAGCAGCACATTGCCACTGCACCACACAGCTGGCCCTGTACTTTATAACGTCTCATCACCTCACCCTCCAGGCACGTCAGGCCAAATGCACTGTCTTCCCTGGTCCTGCTCGCTGACTTCCTAGTGAGTGCGGCTGCACTTAGCTGCCCAAGCTGAAAGGAGGGGTTGACCTTGACTTCTTTACCTTTAACCTACAATCTGTCAAAAGCCCGGCCAGTTTTACCACTTACATCTTTCCATCTGTCCGCTCCCGTCTACTCTCCCCACTACTTCTTCCTCTCAGTCCCTTTCATCTGGACACTTTAAGGGCACCTAAATGCTCACCTCACTTGCAAGCCATTCTGCCGACTCAGATCTGAGTTGGTCTTGTTTAAAGTCCCAGCCGATAGGCAAAGTCCAAACCTCCTGGCCTCTCCATCCAGTTCTGCATAACATCCTTCCCTGTCGTGGTTACCTACCTGTTTTCCCACACATTCCAAGCCTTCTCTAGCCAACAAGAGTTTAGGGACCAGCAGATGGCTTAATGGTTATGTCACTGAACTCCCACATAGTCAATCACAGTTCAGTTCAAGTCCTGGGCCTGCGGCTTAAACTCATGCCAGGCACGTGTGGGCGGCAGTGTGGCCATCCCCCTTGGGGGGGGGGTGATTTCTTGCTTTCCATCTCTCTGTCTCTCTGGTGAGCGCACATGCTATAGTAAATAAATCTCTCTCTTAAAAAAAAAAAAAAAGAGTTTGGAGTACTGTTCCCTGACTCACTAGTGCATCTTTCCCCTATACCTGCTTAGAGAACTCCTGGTCATGCTCAGAACCCAGGGCAAGTTACCCCGTGATCTTTTTTGGTTGCTCTAGAGCAATGCCTACCTTGGTCCTCCTTTCTATACATCCCTGTTCTCGTTTTAACACTCAGGGCTGTAATTGCTGAGTGACAAGTCTGTCTCCCTCCCTAAGATGTGAATAGATGCTTCTTGGCCATCTTTGCAACCCCAAATCAGGCACAGGGTGCATGCAACCTGTGTTGGATTAAGGCAAGGAAAATAAGTCTCCAGCTACCTGCAACCTGCACAGACTGCTTTAGAACCTGGTGTTGTATCATTGCTGGGGTAGCCCAAAAGAAGCTGGATTGGGGCCAGCAGGTGACTTGGTGATTAAGGTGCTGGACTCCCACATGGCCGACCCCAGTTCGAGTCCCTGACCTGGTGGCTTGCTTTCTCACTTTGTCTCTGGTGAGCACACATGCCCTGTAGCAAATTTAAAATAATAATAATAATAAATACAATTAAAAATAATTCTTTTTAAAAATCAGGATGGCCTTCCATAGCAGTGTCTAGTAATTTTCTGCATTCTGCATTCGTTCTCTGCTAACAGTAGTGCCTCTTCCAACAGAGCAGAAACCCCCACCTAAGACGCTTCTGCACCTGCTTCCAAACAGCATTATCCCAAGCCCCTGGGCGTCTGACTCCTCCCCAAACTGAGTCCTTCAAAATGCCAGGCCTAGCACCTGGCCTCTTCCAGTCTGCACTTTCCTTCACCTCGCTCCACCTCGGTTCCTGATCCTGCCTCTATTACAAACCCAGTGGAATCTGTTCCTCGACCTGGGGAGGCCCACTCAAACCTCGCCCAACCACTTTCCGCCGGACCAGGTTCCAGACTCCCCAGTCTCCGCCCCGCCCCGCCCCTCCACTCAGCCCTAGCCCCGCCCTCCCGAGTCCTACCCGCCCACCGCTGCCTGACTCCAGGTGCACCCTCTTCGGGATCCTCTGCGCCTTCACCTGTACAGAGTCTTGCGCGGGGCGAGCTGGTCCTCGCTCAGGCCTTGCGCGATGTAGTAGTCGGCGACGAGGCCGAGGATGCGGCCCCAGAAGAGGACTCGGTCGTAGCGGTAGTCGCGCTTAACCAGCATGAGGGAGGTGAGCAGCGAGGCCCGACGGTCCGGACTGAGGCCCTGCCCGCTGCCCGATGCCAGCTCCAGAGACAGCAGGAGGCTCTCGGCGTCCATCAGGCCCGCGGCTCTGCTCAACGCCCGTCCGGTTGCTAGGTGAAGCGGTCTCCACGGAGACCGGGGCCCCGCCCCCGCGCCTGGCGGGAAGCAAGGCCCCACCCAACCGACCGCCTACCGCCCAGCCCTCCTGCCCCCGGAGCGGGTCAGTAACGCCAGGGCTTGCACCAGCCCCCTTCCTCCACCTTTCGGCTTGGAACTGGATGTCGCCAGTTGTTACGGCCATGGCCTGGCTTCCCCACCAAAGGCAGGTGACTGGGTGGGGCTGGAGAGCTCACCCCGCCCATTCCAGGGGCATTTGGCCTGCCCGAGCCCTTTCACGTAGTTGACATTTCCAGTCCTCACTACACAGGCAGTGGCTGGGGAAGAATACCATGGAATCCCATCACTACTGCTTCACCCAAGTCGTGTCACGCTGTGGCCTCAGGGTAAGCTGTGAAGAAAGAACCTGAGGGCCAGCAGGTGGCCGACAGCTAAGGTGGCTGGAACCCACGTGGCCAACTGTGCTGGTCCAGACCTGGACGTGGCAGCGTGAAAAACAAGCCCGGCAGACCTGGGCTGCCAGGTGGTGTGGTTAAGGGCGCTGGACTCGGACATGGCTGACCACAGTTCGAGTCTTGGACCAGGGAAGCTTGCTTTCT